GCAACCTCTGAACGCTTGCAAAACCAAACGCGTTGTCGACCCTGAAGAAACCTCTTTATCCCCTTTTTTTAAGAACTCAATATTGTAATCTCTTGGGAACACAGGATAGACATCATCGACAGGGAGCTCATTCCATAACCTGAGCGTTCGTGGGATGAGTTATCTCTGAAACCGGCTGTACGCGACCATGTATGCTCTAAGGTAAGGGGATGAACTCCATGTCGAAGGCGAGAGAATTCAGAAATGGTAATGAATGCCATGTGTCATGGGTACCACAGTGAATTTTGTAATTTATTTATCAATTTTTTTTTAAACTGTTCATGTCTATAAGCGACGGTTACCACTTTATATCAGGTAGGCAGTGAGTTTGATGATCATTCCAAATGGAATTAGAAAACTGGCTTCAAATGTGCAAACCCAGTTATTTTGATTTAACGACTAAACTACTAAACCGATTGTGATAAAATTTCTATGAAATCAATCTATCAGATAAAAAAGAATTTTCTAAATCGCTTCACAACTGATGGAGTAAAGAGGTAACTGACATTAAAAAAAATACATTCGAAACTCCTTCCTTTCGAAGTCTGTTAAAAAAAAGAAATAAATTACAAAGGAGGTCGCATGTAATAATAGTTTTAACTCATACAATTTATTTAAATTTAATCATGTATTGCATAAACATTCATATTGTTTTATTAAATTATTGATTGTTGTTATAAACAATAAAAATATCTAAGCAAAACAATATTTAAATATAAACAGGCGTAACATGTTCATTTTTATAACTTCCATTTTAATAATAAGCGTGAAAATATAAAAAATATTAAATTTACCAATCAATGGGTACGGTGATTTTATTTTATTTATTTTTTCTTCAATATTTCAGTTACATTTGTGTATTTTTTGTTTTTGATGGGTGAAAACAACATGATAACCCCGCCCGCGCCAACGGGATACACTGGCGGAGCACCAGTGAAGGGTGATAGATGAGAATGAAAACAGGCCAGTTAGCCCATCATGACGAATTCAATAAGAATTGTTCACGATGGTTTCCAGGGGGAACCACTTGGAGGTCGACCTAACAGGGGCAATTCTAGCAATGGGGCTGTCAAACTCCATTGCTAAATAGGCGACGGTTACCACTTTCCATCAGATGGGCCATCAGCTTGTTTGCCATTCTAAGTTGCATAAAAAAAACTTGAATTTCCACATCGTTAGGATAGATAGGTAATCAAAATAGACACAATTATGAATTAAGTAATAGAAGCATTGTTTATTATAATATTTTGGAGTTGATAATAACTAATACATATTAAGTAACATTTGAAAAAAGGTCACATACCTTTGTACGGTATTACTTGTAAAGTTCACGTTGGTTTGAAGTTCAGGGTTTTGATTTAATAATAGAGATATCGGATGGCTAAACGCAGCTAAGTACATATTTATTGTTTTATGAACTTATTAACATTTGAATATTGATTTGTTTGAAAGTATAGTACATTACTGCAGCGGCCAGCAACTGAGGCATTGATGGACGAACGTGCAAATGTGGACCGAGGCGTAGCCGAGGCACACATACGTGAGTCTATCAATGCCTAGTTGTGGCCAAGGCTCGTATAGTACTTTTCTCAAACAATGCGCGGAAATCAAAAACACTTTTTAAGTTCAATGACGAATAACTAACAATAATAATTTTTCACGCGCCATTTTGTTCCTTTGTTTTTTTTTTTAAATAAACAGCTTTCTATTTGCAAGCTAGTTCGAAATTTAAATAAAACCTGTTATTAGTTACCTCCTTGGTAGCCATGTTTCGAAGTAAAAGTCATTCCATTTTTAAATTACAGGACAGATATGAGTTTACATAGTAATTTATCTGGCCGCAAAACACGACAGATATGGATTTTCATACAACTTTTGCCGGCCGCTGCTCGCATGTATCTGGCCAGCACGGCAATTTTGATTTATCTCTAAGAAGATTGTCAAAATAATGCTCACATTTCTTCATTTACATTATTTTAACAGATCTATTTTTTTAACGCGCCACCTACCTATTTATTCTTTAATTCTTTCTACCCAAAGGTTGTCTGAAAGAGATTGCTTAGCAATAAGACCGCCTTTTGTACTACACTATACTTATTGAAAATTGTTTTACAAATCCTGTAATGTTGGTGCAATAAAGTGTTAAATAAATAACTCACTATTTGTGTTGTAACTTTTTGATGGAAAATCATTATTCTTTAAAATTATTATCATCAATCATCGAATTATTTTTTATTTGAAGGAAAATCAAATATGGACTATACGTTATTGCAATTTCAAAAGAAGGAATACTAAAGATTTTGACGACTTCTCGATGGGCGATCAAGATAAAATATACACCGGCCTATAAATTAGACCTTCAAAAATACAGCTGTGAAAATCTCGTCGTAATTTATGTAATAAGGCGCATTAGTTTCTGCGTGACACCAGAATAAATATACAGACAGATAGAATGTCTACAAATTATTGTATTGGCATCTATTGGTCTCATAAGGACGCCTTATTTTTTCTTAAATATCACCCACGTACAGATATTGACTAGTTACTGTTCTGTCCTTACTGTACTAAACCGTTCTTGATGAAATGTTTTAGCTTAAAGATGTATTTTTAAATAATATTACAGAGCCGAAGTATATTTAATACACACCTAATATAAATAACAAGAACGAATTATAGTAGTATTATAAATGCGAAAGTTTATAAGAATGGATAGACGAATGTTTGTCACTCTTTCACACAAAAACTACTGGACGGATTTGATTGAAATTAGGCACACTGCCAGGTTATATCCTAACTTAGTGCAAAAGATACTTAATATATTGACATATGCGGATGGGGCCACAAGATACAGCTAGTATAAAAATAAACCCTATTTATTGCAAAATGAATCGCCTAGTCACCAGTTTGGGTCAGAATTGGTGATTACTTTACATTTAAATCTTTACACATTCACTACGGATAGAAATATGAGCGAATTCTAATATACTCTCTTATAGAAAGTGTTAACTTTGATCTTAATAAAATTAATGGAGAACTAAAATGAGAATAAATAATTTCGATAAAAAAAAAACTATATCAAAATTGTCATAATTTCTAGACGTACTGAGTTATATTTATCTCTTCTTGATCTTATTTGTGATTTATTATTACAATAGCTGTAATTAACTACATAGAGAAGGCACTTAGTTAAGCGTACCAGTGTCTCACACCTTTAAATTGATTTAGTTTTTAAATAAAAATAAAAATATGTGTAAAAAATATAAATATAATAAAAATATAAAACTGACGAGAGCTTAAAACTTCTGTTACTTAAATAATATTATCAAAATAAATAATTATACAGTTGAAGATATCCAAATGTAAATAATATAATTTGTTATTTCTCTTCTCTCTTCACTCTTGACAGAGTGGTCGTGGTTTTATGATGATTGTGGATCGTTCATGAGGCTCTCCTTCGCGATTGAAGTCCTCGCAATGTGTCTCCATCTACTTCAGCTCACAGCCGAGCGAGAGAATTCCACAATAGACTGTTTGTTATGATACATGACAATAATGAAAGAACGATACAAAAACTATGTTATTTTACTTATGTTATAAAATTAAGTAAAGTAAAGTAGACGATGTCTGTATATCAAGATCAACATATCAATCTTTAACTGTCCACTGTTTAACATAAACCTCCTTCTTGGGGTGTTTTGCCAGTAGTTGCCACGCTTGGCAGGCGGATTGGCAACCGCAGTTAGGATTTGGAGATGTTTTAAGAGGGACGCTGCTGCCCATCCCTCGCTCTATCTGTTATGTATACCTATATCCTTTAAATACCTGAAGTTTCAAATTTAATGCCGGGGTTATAAATCGCATTGGGCGTCTAGAATCGGTTTTTATTTTAATATTTGGCTGTTTACATGTTACCAAATGTTTTTTTCAAAATAAATATATAAAGATATCGTTTTGATTTTTTTACTATTTTTCCTCATTAGTAAACACAGTGAAGGGTATACTTATATATATTTTTTTAATTTGATTTAAAAAATCAAGCTTATTCAGTCAAAATCGAATCTTAATAAATCAAATTTAAAACAGAATTTTTAGAAAATTATTATTAATTTAAATTTTTAGAAATTTGTCTGTCTTATTGTATGTTTATTTCGGCATCATACAAAAATTATTGAACCAAATTGGATGCAGTTTTCACAATTGTATCCTTGAAGTAGTAACTTAAAGTTTTGTTTTTAATTAATAGCCCATCTAGAAACGGTCTATTCCTTTGATTTTTCTAATTTTGAAATCCACATTTACGTATTAGCAAGTAAAAAATTTGTAACATATAAAAAAAAAATACTTCAATTATTAAAATCATTCATTGAAATTATATTCTGGACATGTTTAAAAAATAAACTAAAAACAATTAATCTAAATTTAGTAACCGGCGCTCATCACTCCAATATGAATTACGCGTATGAAAGGGCGCTGTCAAATTCAACAATTTAATTTATTTAATTTATTGCTACTGACTAATAATAAAATAATCATTTTAAAATTAATTAATTTTAATTTAATTAACATAAAAATAACGCTCAATTGTTTTTTTATTTAATTAATTATTACTTCAATTTAATTAATTTCAATATAATTCTTCATTGTTCTTGATTAATATAATTAATATTTTATTTTATTATCCAACATTTTTATTTCCTTTGTCATATTATATTTTTTGTGTATATTGTATTATTTATTACTCAATATATAGGTATTAAACATTCATTTTTTGAGAAGGAATCGAAAGTATGTATCTATGACATACTGTCAAAAACACAAGCTCTTAAACTAACACCAAAAAATTGCATTTCACCTAAACCGCAGAACAAAGTAACAAAGAGGTCATTACGCAAAAAAATCTATGTTTGAACTTCATATATTTATCGGGAAATGTGGCTTCATTATAAACTAGAATGAATTTTGTAACACCAAGAGGCGTATATAAATACGGGGGAAGGTCTCCTAACAACATTCGTGATTTCAACTTCGACCTGACACCACACATACCGATATGAAACTGGTGAGTCGATTTTTTTTATAATACATTTCATCGATAATCGATGACGATCGATTGCCATCTATTGAAGAGATAAATGTCAGTTATGTAATTATCGATTATTTAATTTCATCGATAAACGAGAACTTACACGAAGATTATAAGGGTGACATTCTTATGTAATACTTATGAGTACGAGAAGTGATGTCAATTATTTTTTTTATTGATTAAAGTTTAGTACAATCGATCGACTAATCGACTATTCTTTTTCGGTCAATAAATTCTATTTTAACTCTAGATAAAAATAAATTAAATAAATCTAATTTACAATAAAAGTGATAAAATATAATTTATGTAATAAAAGTACACAAAAAGTGATTTTACAATAGTACATACTTGTGTTAGTAAATACATTTTTATAATACTTACGCATAAACGGTAACAAAGCACTATTGCAGTAACTTCACTAGAGATTTTTTTAATATGTACTAATTAAGAAATTTGTCTATCCATTGTTATATTTATCTCTTCTTGATCTTATTTGTGATTTATTATTACAATAGCTGTAATTAACTACATAGAGAAGGCACTCAGTTAAGCGTACTAGTGTCTCACACCTTTAAATTGTGCGCGACAAAAAACAAATTACCTATGTTAAAGTTGTATGCGTAGATTTCTCACGACAAAAATGATTGATATCCTGCGGGAACATTCATTATCTATACCGTTTTTGTAATCATATGTTATTAGACAATTTACGTAATAACATTTGTCATTAGTAATTCATAGTATATTTTTCATAATTAAGATATCCTAACACTTCTCTAAGGTTGACTGGGGGAGAATGCTTTTAGTATTAAGTCCATCTTGTACACATACATGTACTAATGAATAAATAAATAATAAAATAAAGTAAAATTGATGATTATAATAAGTTATTATTTAGGAAAAATTGTATAGATTAATTTCAGCTTTGGTTAATGATATAAAATCAACTTTTAGTTTATAATTATTTGTAAATACATACATATAGATTGATACTAGTTCTCTTTGATTATTGTAATATATTTTTATCTTTCTTGATGTTCATATTCTAATCTTATTTATTTAAAATTTTCAAAAATTCTCAACCTTATCTTTAATCTAAATTTATTTCTACTGGGACGTGGGCATCTTCTATAAAAGTTAGAAGGCAAAATAAGTAAATATCAATCTTCAATGTAAATATCGCCTCAAATCAAATAGGCGTCTAAAATAATATGTAAATACATTTATAATCTAAAACATAAGCTGGAAATAAAAATCAATCTCGTAAGATGATTTCTAAACAATAAATGTTCAAATCATATTTTCTAATTTATCCATATTTCTTCCTAATTCTATATATATTTTCCTAATTCTATATTAACATCCCAAAATTTATTTAGATTTAAATTTTTATTTATTTAAATTATGACGTAACCTATTCATGTACTCAATTTACAGTAGTTTTTGCTTGATATATGTACTTAATTTCTATAATTAGATCAAATATTATGTTTTAAGCTTAACTATCCGATATCTCCCACCTTCCTCTACATTTATTTAGATTTATAACAATAATATTTAATATTAATTCTACGTGCCAATTATTATCTCCAGCAATTATTTTATCTTTTTATTTGGCAGTTTTTGTAGTCATAAAAAATTGCAAATTTGTACCTGACTCTCAAATTATATTTGCATAATTACAGAACAATAGACTCTTAGAATAATGTAGGTGTGACAGCCTTAGTTTTGTTTCTTACTTAATATTTGGGAAACTTTGCAATTATCGTTTGATATAAGTGTGTTCTTATTACATACATTCTACATTCAAAATATATGTAATGAGATGTCTTTAATCTATAGAGAATGAGAAACAAACATACTGTGTCATTCCGCAGTGCACAGGTATTAGGTAATTTTGTATTGTATGGCTTTACAATTCGGTTCATATTACGTTAGTACGGCTTTGTAAAATATATCATTTAATGATTTTAATATACAAAGTTTACTTAAATGTTGACGAAATAGGTATTAAACTAAAAATTAAAAAAGTATTAAACACAGTTTAAAAGTGGCAAAGATAATTATGATAACTACGTAACGCATAAAATAAAGGCGAATTGAATAGACATCCTCTTTTTATAGTCGGTAAAAATAGGTGTGGATGATACATTGAAATAGTTACTAATACTACTAATGCCTATATATCAATGATTCAATATAAAAAATAAAGATTATGCTAACAAAAATCCCGTTTGTTAATTTGCAAAATATCGTATTTAAAAAATCAACTATACGTATTTTAACAAAATTTGTATTGGAAAATTCTAAAATTTATATTCTTTTAGGTAAAAAAAAAATATAACTAATTATTAATGTTAAAAGACGGGCAGGCAGAAAAACCATAGTCTTTTGTGCTTACCCTTTTTTTAAAGTTTGCTGCAAATTCCTATCAGTGATAGCATCTTCAAATTTTTTTCCATCGTTGTTTTTTCTCCACAGTATATACAGTGTATTTTCTAAAGTAACAATATTACTAATTAACTTTTACCAAAAATATCACTCAACAAAGATAATGGATTAAAGTTAAATCAAAGATTTAATAAAAAAAAAATAAGTATTTGAGACAATTTAATTATAAATTGTTTCCCATAATTCGTTATTAAACAAAGAATTTAATTTTAACATTAATATGTATCAATATGGGTATATAACTTTATTAAATAGTGATCCAGCCTTGATTTAATACTGTGGCTTTAATTTTCTCTGAAAAGGGCGAGGACACCTCAATCACTTATCCTATCACTTATTTTTTTTCTTACGCATCTACTTTTCTATTAATTCTCTCAATTAATCAATTAATTCATTCTCCAAACCAACAATACCGTTTTTCAATCATTAATCTAATTCTTATTCAATTATCAGATCCTGATCTCCGCTTTCTTCGGCATCGCCGCCGCTGGCTACGCCGCAAGCTACCCTGAACAATCCAACAGGCCCCAGGCATCCTTCGAGAAGACCGCCAGAATCCTCGCCCTGGACTCAGACGTGAAAGAAGACTCCTTCAGATATAACTATGAAACTGAAAATGGTATTAAAGCCGAGGAGCAAGGACACGAGGTAAGATCTTTTATTTAGAAACCTTTAAATGTAATTATAATTTCTTCGTAATAGTTTTTTATTTTTAAACGCCATCTATTAATAACAGATGTACAATTTATTAAATGTAATACTAGAAAATATAGAACAGAAGTAAATATATAAAGTGGACAGTAGAATTTTTAGTCATAACACATATAAAGAGTACAATAAAGTTATTTAACACATTACATTTATATAAAATTAAATTTAAATATGGAATCGTGTGTTGATAAAAATATTGCCATAATTAATCTAAATACAAAAATAGCAGCTTCAGAGATCACATAATTAGTATAATGCTAACATGGAAATAAACATTATTGATTACTATTACTAAAATTTCTTCAGAATTGGTGACGTATTTTTGAAACACAGTCACAATGAAATTTTATGAAACTAACAACTTTAAGTATGAATAAGAACAGCTATAAAGGTACAGAAAGATTTAAAAAGACATAGACATATGGGAGTAAATGTGGAAATAACTCCAAATAGAGAATAAAGGAAGGAAAAACATATTACGTCGACCGCCGAATAAATAATTACGGTAGGAATAGAAAGACGATGACGATTTATAAAAAAATACAGATAAATTTTAAATCTCCTTTTGAAAGCCGCTTAGAAATTTCTCCTTTACTGAAGTCAGTAAAAACTAATACAAAACACCTAATAGATCAAATGGGAATACATTGAAACAATCTAGAGTGTGAGAACGTAACACCGGATCTAGTGATGACCTATTAGGTGTAATACTAGTGACCTATGTCTAGATTAGAGGTTAGATCGCCTATCCAACAATCGTACGAAAGGGCAGTGACCAGACGCTAAAGGTCGAGAGGATTATGCAAAGGACCATAGAGATATATTGAAATCGTCTATCAACTTTGACCGTGACGAATTGCAGGGAGCGACTCTGTTGCAAAAGATTTGATTCTGTAATTAATTATAATTTATTTTAGTACACATTAAACTTTAGAAATATATTGTTGGGCATTATTGTGAAATTAATATGCGAAACCATAACTAAAGATATTTTTAACGCCACGATAATTTTTATTTCATTTCTGACTTGTTAAATTGACGACTTTGTCTTGATTGAGACATTCCAATTTTTTTTCTATTTTCTAGAAATCTGAATTGGACCATTAAAAAGTCCTAAATCGGTCGAGATTTTCTCAAATAACAATTAATAATGACTTATATCTAAAGTAACATCAAAAAAGAAAATGTTTTATTTTTTTATTTGTAATGAACATAGGCCTTACCTAAAAGGCTTGTTTTTTGCTAGTAGTTCCCACGCTTGGCAGGCAGATTGGCAACCGCAATTGGGCTTTGATGAAAGGGATGCTGCTGTCCATTCTTTGATCATTAAGTTCCCTTAGGCGATTCTTAACGACACCTTCCGTAAAGGAAGAGGTGAACTATTCTATGTCGGTACTATGGTAAAGTAGACTCAGACATTTATAGTATTATTAAAGACTGTAATTATTATAAGATCTTAAATATGATTAAGGTACTTTGCTCATATGGAGATGTTACAAAGTAATATAATATTACCACTTAATCATTTATTCCAAAGTATATTAATGCCGTAATAATTAAGAGATAGAAGATAATAATTCACTATATTGATATTCAAATAAATAATATACAAATTGCAAAAGACACGACTATCAGTGAGTAAAATTAATTACGTTTAAAAGGTATAGGTGGAATAAATGATATCTTCAACGATATTAATCACATGAGTGTTAATTTATATTTGATAGGTCTTACAGAAGTATTTTAGAAATATTTCAATCAAATTGAAACTATTTTAATAAATATCTGCAACATAGAATCATCTAAGTGTTCAAATTGTTCACAAAAGATTGCCTGATTGATTGATACAGAATGTGTATTTACAAAAGCAAAGCTTGAATATTCCATATAATAATATTCTATTTCATATACAATATGTGAGAATTAAAAAGATTGTTATGTTACATGAATTACGAATAGAAATGTCAGCAACCTCAACCAATTGTACGTAAAAGTAACAAATAGTTTGCAAAGATTTTTTTGGATACTTATAAATTTTCTATATTATTTAACTCAGACACAAAATTGCAAAATTATTTACCTATATTTTATAAGTAAGTATGGCCATGTAGTCCCGGTATAGAATAGGCCACCCCGTCCTTTCCCGTGGGTGTCGTAAGAGGCGACTAAGGGAGAGCGAGGGATAGGCAGCAGCATCCCTTTTAAAACATCTCTAATGCCTAACTGCGATTGCTAATCCGCCTGCTAAGTGTTGCATCCATTAGCAAAACCCCTCAAGGGGGAGGCTTATGTTCTGTAGTGGACAATTAAAGGCTGATATGATGATGATGATGATTTTATTAAGTAGACAATCTTTTATTTTGTTAGCTAACCGTGGAAATTCATTTAGGTCTGATTGTACATTTTATATAAGTCTTGACCTTCATTTTATTACAAGTTCAATTCCAATGATCGAACTTTATAATAATTCAGATCATCGTAATTTCAACGACCTTCATACCGTTTTGCTTCGATTGTGTAATGTGTCATTATTGACGTGAATTACTATAATATTAATCATAATCTATGACATTTAAAATTAATGACGCCTTCTCGTTCTTGCGGTTTGAATGTGGGTTTGAGATCGAATTCCCTGAGATAACGTAACATCGTCATTATTATGAATATTGTTTGTAGATTCATGATATGAGACATGCAATGATCTTGTAATTTTTTTGATATAAAAACTGTGATCAGTTTGAAGCTTAAGTATCTTTTTTTCTATCACAGTTTTTATATCTTCATTTCTAATTATATGATTGTAATTATAAATTAAAAACTCTTAAACACAAATTAACCACATTTAGTGAACGACCACAAGAAAAACTTAATTTTACAAGAAGATCATTCGCAGTAACTCATCATTGCATTCAAGTCTAAAACAAATCATTTGCAATAACTACAAAAAAATATATTCAGATATAACTTTACATTTTAAAATTTATGTAGCATAATATTTGGAAGATAATCCTTACAAAAGAACTATTAAGATTTCAAAATATATACAGGATTACAGACATTTAACGATACAATCATTTGCTAACATTAGTTTTATTGTCTGTGTCATAATAGATAGAGACATAAGCGTCGTTTACATTACTAAATACGAGCTTACGAGTGTTTTATTAGAAGCGAGAAATTCTCGGATAAATATGTAGATAGAATGGAGACTTTGTACAAAAGTCGATTGCTTGAGTACCTCTGTCTCATTCGTGTTTCTACCGTGAATCAGTTGTGTTTGCATGGCTGTGTTTCGGTTTGAAGGGTGGGATATGGCGTGAATTTACAGGGTACAGAGGAATAACATCCAAGTCATTTTTGCTTCTGTTATACAAGTAATTTATTTTGCAATCTTTTGATGGAAACAAAAAAAAAAACATATTACCTATTTCGTATGACTTTTTCGTAGTTAAATACTATTTTTGCAATTCACTAAACATTTTTAGAATTATAACTTTACCGTTCAAGATAGGACCGTTTGAATCAATTTCAGGCTTCGAATGGATATGCAAATTACCTATATTCAGTTATAAGATTGGTTTAAATTTCTACCTGTGGTATAGCAGTTTAAAGTAGTGTTAAAACATTTGAATCTTGTATTGTGCAGTTTGTTTTAATGGTATTTAATGAAAATGTAAAAAAAAAAACAAAAAATGACCCAACTGTAAGACAGTCTTCTGATATTCAACAGTAGTATGGAGTTCTTTAAAAAGGAAATATTAAGGTTCCTTCAGGGTCGGCAACGCGTACGTGACACCTCTAGTATTGCTGGCCTATGGAAGGTTACATAGTTAAGCATCAGACAGGCTGAATGCTTGTTAACTACCTTCATAATATAAAAAAAAATCGACGAAGATATTGAATATTTCGATTTATTACTAATTTCATTTAGAGAGTCTTATTGTGATAATTTCAACAAAATTTTTAATTAGGTGGTATTCAAATTGACTATTGTGATGTAAACCAGGTCTAATGGTTAGAAATATTGTACTTTATGATTGACTATCATCAGTTACTCAGATGCTTAGATATTAAAGTTACGCAAGATTTTCATGCTTATGCAATATGATGGGTGACCATTAAAATGTGTCTCTAGGCATATTTTGCAATTACAAAGTTTAGACGTATCTAATTAAAATTTGTAAAGAGTACATCAACACAACAATATAGTTAGGCTGTTGAGTTTAAATGTTTTTGGTGAAATAAAAGAATTTAGTGTTTGGCTAAACGTCTAAGTCTTTAGAAAAAAAGAAAACAGATGTTAACATTCACAATTGGTAAAATAATGTTTAGAATAATAATTTACATGAATTTTAACAAAAACACACTCATTTTTGGTGTATTTTTCTATCCAACTTAGAATGGATAACTAGGTAATGGTACATCTGACGAAAAACGGTAATCTATGGATATAAATAGCACAATAGATAGCTATTGGTTATGTTAAAATTCCACATTAAAAAAATAACAAAATCTAATACTTTTCAGTTGAAAAAAAGATAAATTTGTACATATTTTGGTTCGTATTTAGCTGTACTCAATTTCTCTTTTCAAATTTCCAGGCTGACGGTATCGAGGCTCAGGGCGGCTTCCAGTACACCGGTGATGATGGCCAGATCTATTCCATCAGCTACGCAGCTGGCCAGGGTGGATTCCAACCACAAGGTGCCCACCTTCCCACCGCTCCCCCTACTCCTGAGGCTATCTTGAAGGCTTTGGAACAGAACGCTCGTGATGAGGCTGCTGGTATCATTGATGATGGTAAGTTTGAGAGAATAATAATGATAAGGTAATTTCAAAGACACACTAGGAGGGTTAGTATGAATCAAACTCAACCAATTTTTTTAATGAATATACACGAAATTAAAATATCATAATATACAAAAGTGTGATTGGATTTGTAGAAGAAAACTGCTAGACTGATTTTAATGAAATATGGTGTAATGATGATATGGTCCCTAGTTAATTGTATAGCAGGTTTTTTACTTTTATGGGCTGTTTACTGAGTTACGTAAATAACCTTACTCAATTCATCATATAAATCACACGGTTTGGATGAACAATTAGAATTTATAATAATAGATTATTGTCATTATTTAGTCCTATGCTATCATTTGCTATTCAAAAATAAAAAATAAAAACACAGAAACTAATTTGTCACTTCACAGACACAATTTTTAGTAACGTTTTGAACAATCCATCTACATTTTCGCTGTCCTTTACGTGTTTTACTCTATCTACTTTCAAATCTACCATACTTTTAGTAGCATGATCTTCATCATTTCTTACATTATTTGCGGTCACCGCAGTTACTTTACCACATTCACTGATCGATATCACACTTACCAGAGTAATTTGGGTATCATCTTTCACACAATCTCCATTTTTTCTTTGCTCCTTCCATTCCTTTACATTCAAATACGTCAATATTAAAATCTTTCTTTAAAATATTATGTTTATTTCATCGAAATAATATGTTAGTTCGCAACTTCTCTGTCACTGGTCTGACTTTTAGACTTTCTCAATATTTATTCATATTCATTATTTATTCTGTCATCCATTGTCGCTTCATACATCTTAACATTCGCATCTCGGCCGTAATTATTGGTCTTTTATAAGCTGCATTTATAGCTTCAAACTTTATATAATATATTCTGAACTATGTACGATTTACGATTCCTGTATTATACTATGACGAGTGTTATATAATACTAGTTTTTACTCGCGATTTCGTCTACATAACCGGTTGTTTATATTTTTCTCTATATTACTTATAGTCTTCTCCATGCTTATTAAATACTTTAAAAAGTGTATACCAAATTTCATGATAATTTATTACGTAATTAATTCTCCAATAGGTAACAAATAAAAAAGCGTTACATATGTCATAAGAAATCATTGTATTCATGTTTACTTTAGTTTCATCGATGCTGGAATTATTTACTTCAATTTATGATTACATTATCTAAATTCCATCCTTATTAAGATTATAAATGTTAAAGTGAGTTTATTTATTTTGTTTAAATGGTTTAACCAATTACTATGAAATCCAGTCAGTAAACATAACACAGTCACGCGGACGAAGTCGCAAGTAAAAGGTAGTAAGATTATAAATTTAAGAGTCTAGCCTATCCATTGTAATTTTATCGTCTCTCTATGCACGTGTATTCGTTAAGATTACGCCAAACTGAGTTCTCACGATGCCAGATAAGCCCACACATTTTCTAAAGCAACACGCCCTGCCCATATTGCGTTCAACGAGATGACTCTTATTTCTCTCAAATGTCACGCCTTACAAATATAAATTACTTCGTAAACGGTCTATTTCGAATTGCGTCTGGTACAAAATGAAGTTGTTATGTAAGGGGATAAATGTATAAAGATAAATTCATTATTAACGACGTCTGTGGCGTAGCGGTGGGCACGTTGCTTTGCGTAAACGAAGTCCTGAAGTCGATGCCTAGTTGGGTCAATTTAGAAAACAAACTTGTCTGAATTGGCTCGATTCTGAGTATTCCCCATGTTTGTTGCCTGGTTTTGCATAACACAGTAACTGTGGGCAATATACAGCGATATCTATATATTTTGGTACAATATCTATTTACTGGTTTAATATCGAATGTGTTAAAAGCCCTTTATTCAAAAAAATAATATTGGGTAAAAGACTTTTAATATATTCGACCGATATGGGCGATATCGAAACGGGTGATAACGTTTTTTCCGAAATTAATGTTCACAGGTATTCGATATATAGATATCGGATCAGTATCCATTTTCTCTATGCCTATAACAGAGGCTTTAGCTAGAATAGCCCTGATTAATGTTTTTTTTTTTTATGGGTGATAATGAAATAGTAACCCCACCCGCGCTATCACCGCAGTATACACCGGCGAGGCACCAGTAAAGGATGATAGGTGAGGATGAAATCAGTTAGCCCATCGTGACGAATTTAACAAGAATTGTTCACGATGGTTTCCAGAGGGAACCACGTGGAGGTCGACCTGATAGGGCTTATAGCTAGCAATGGGACTATCAAACTCCATTGCTAACAATCCCTTCCCTTCTGATTAATGTTTTTATGTACGTTTTTTATGATGTGTAATAACATTTTATAAACTTTCTAATTTCTTAATAAAATACAATACCTGATAATGTAAACTAAGATACGTGTATGATGTATGGTACTTTTCAACCGACTTCAAAAAAAGAAGGTTCTAAATTCAACTGAATTTTTTTATGTCTGTTACCTCATAACTTTTTTTATGTAACTTAAAATGGCAAACAAGCTGACGGCTCACCTGATGGAAAGTGGTAACCGTCGCCTATAGACATGAGCAGTACCATGGACATAACAGAGTATTTAGAGTAGACTATTTCGCCCATGATACCTCCCATGCATTGCCATTCCTGAGGACTCAGGTGTTATTCCTCTGTATCCTGTAAATTCACTGTCATATCCCACCCTTTTAACCAAAACACAGCCATGCAAACACAACTGTTTCACGGTGAAAACACGAATGAGATAGAAGTGCCCAAGCATACGAGTTTTGTACAAAGTCTCCCTCTGGTAGACTTTGTACAAAATACTACTTGTACTATATTACAAAATGTACTTAAATACATTTAAATACATTTTTCATTTTATTAATTGTCTGTTGTAAACATAATAAACTTATAATTTAGAAATGTTTATTTATTTATTGAGGAGTTATAGGCTATTTAACATCATTATACGATTACAGGCGAAGTCGTGGAATACGGCTAGTTTAGTATATAGAGAGAAGATGCTAGAAGTATTAATGTAACATACCCTAATTGGTATTTAGTTTTGAAATAATTTATGTGTCCAACTGTATCTTAAACACTCTGTACTGACCTTTGCGATGTTTCACAATGACCTCTCACTCTGATTCCGAAGCTTGGGAAACTGGGCACTAGCCAGATTATACACTATATGTATTTCGACCTAAAAGTAAAAGCGATAATGTTCAAAGTTGCATAACATTTTTTTATATTTGTAGAACAATCTTGGGAAGACCTAGAGCCTAAATATCAAGATGCATGTAACCTATTACCGTATTGCGTAAGGAATAAAGTTGATTTTCGTATAAATAAATTGTCAGGAATAATTTAATCTATTTTGAAGTTGACGTGTGTTATTACCGAATGTACATTTGTGAATCAATGGTGCGTTTAGTGAAGGGTTTACAAGTTGCTATTGTAAGGTCAGGTCAGGTCATATATCAAGAGTGCCTAGATTAGGATAACAAAGATTGGACAAAGAATACAAGTTTTTAAATCTAGAGATTTGTTTAATATGTAATGACCCTGATATTTTTTTTATTTTTTTATTATAAATTGATGTCAGTGTGACATCAAAAGGTCGGCAGTACACCTGCAATACAGCTGGTATTGTGGGTGATCATGGGCGGCGGTAGTCACCGTTAGGTGAGCCGCATGTTCGTTTGCCCTCTGTGTTGTAAAAAAAATCTAGTAATAAGACGGCACGAATAAATAGTAATTATATTATAATTAAAGAATGTGTTCTTAATAAAAAAAAAACCGGCTTCAATTGTAGCAAAACAAGTTCATTTTGATTTCTTAATAAAATTTCTATTTGAGTAATCTGTAGGTATATCCTTTCAGATAAAAGGCGTCAGTTGTAAATCGATTAGAGGAATATTTTTCTAACTAACTGAGTTATAAGGTAACAAACATTAAAAAAAATACAACCGAAATGACAACTTCCTTCCAAACAAAGTTATCATTCGTTCATTCATTCATTCTTCTCTTTGAAGTCGCTAGAAAATAGTAATTGTATCAAAATTAGCGCTTTGCGGTTTATGAAAACAGCATTCATCTTGAACTCAGTTGGTTTCTTTTATAAGGGAAATAGATGAATCTATGAATATGAAGTGAATGTAATTATAAATGTATGTGTAAATGTACACACATATTCTGTGTGTGTGTGTGTGTGTGTGTGTGTGTGTGTGTGTGTGTGTGCGTGTGTGTGCGTGTGCGTGTGCGTGTGCGTGTGCGTGTGCGTGTGCGTGTGCGTGTGCGTGTGCGTGTGCGTGTGCGTGTGCGTGTGCGTGTGCGTGTGCGTGTGCGTGTGCGTGTGCGTGTGCGTGTGCGTGTGTGTGTGCGTGTGCGTGTGCGTGTGCGTGTGCGTGTGCGTGTGCGTGTGCGTGTGCGTGTGCGTGTGCGTGTGCGTGTGCGTGTGCGTGTGCGTGTGTGTGTGTGCGTGCGTGTGCGTGTGCGTGTGCGTGCGTGTGCGCGTGTGCGTGTGCGTGTGCGTGTGCGTGTGCGTGTGCGTGTGCGTGTGCGTGTGCGTGTGCGTGTGCGTGTGCGTGTGCGTGTGCGTGTGCGTGTGCGTGTGCGTGTGCGTGTGCGTGTGCGTGTGCGTGTGCGTGTGCGTGTGCGTGTGCGTGTGCGTGTGCGTGTGCGTGTGCGTGTGCGTGTGCGTGTGCGTGTGCGTGTGCGTGTGCGTGTGCGTGTGCGTGTGCGTGTGCGTGTGCGTGTGCGTGCGCGTGCGCGTGCGCGTGCGCGTGCGCGTGCGCGTGCGCGTGTGCGTTTTTATTTTTTCTTGCAGTGAAATGTTGTTATTCAGAAAAAAAATTCACAAATGGAAAAATATTAAATACAAATTATCATCATTATCATCATATCAGCCTTTAACTGTCCACTGTCGAACATAACCCCCCCCCTTGGGGGGTTTTTGCTAGTAATTACCACGCTTAGCAGGCGATTTTTAACACTGCAACCGCAGTCAGCGCTTTAGAGATATTTTAAGAGAAACGCTGCTGCCCATCCCTCGCCCTAACATAGTCGGTTCTTACGACACCCATGGGGTGGGAAGGGGTAGCCTATTCTATGCCAGGACACACGGCTATTAAATACAAATATTTGGAAATTTTTTAACCATTAACAAAGAAACTGTTTTAGAGGCATCGTAATATTATAAATATATTTTTTAAAAAGATATTAATCTGTATATATTTCTACTTAACTTAGGCTGTGATAAGTTTCAAATAATTCTAAGTGAGAACAGGTATTTATTTTTTTTATTCTTTTAATTTCCAGGTCAGTACAATCCTGGCAAATACGGTGATGCCGGTGCTGGAGCTGGCCAACAGCAATACGCGAGAGCGCAGGCCTCCGCTGGTTACAGACAACCTTACAAATACTAAATACCTTGTTAATATACCAATATTTAGGCTTAAACATATTAATCACAAAATAATAGAATAATAAAACTATCGGTCATCGCCTTAAAGACGCACACAAAGAAAACTTTGCTCTAATTTGTAAATAAATCGTGTCGTGTTAATGACACACTACTGTTGTGATAGTACAATTGGTTGACAAGTTTCACTTTGTTAAGGCGATGTTTTATGTTTTTATTATTTGTGGTATATATTGTACTATTTCTCCATGAATAAACTCGGATTTGTGTTGTTAAAAATGTAAAGTATTATAATATTTTAATGAAAGAATCTGCATGATATATAGATAGAGAACAAGAAAAAATAAATTCGTAATTTTTTTGTTTTGTATTTATACATAGATGCAGTGATTTGTAAATTTTTAACAATATAATGTGTTAAGGAAACATTTAAATGATTTAAATTAGAGCTATTGAAATTATGTTATTACAGCAATAGGGATTTTTTTTATTTCTATTTGCAATGAACTCAGATCTCTATGTGTTCTTATTTGTATTGCAGTATTGTGATGGTTTCTTATTTGTTTAATAGTTACAAGAGAATAGTAAATATCGTTGAAAGATGATTACAGAATTTGATATGAAATAAGTGTTAGTAGGTACCGAATATATATTTTTTTATATTGTTATAGTTGTAACCAGTGGAAATGTATTGAGAGATGGAACTACCTATTTATTCTTTTAATAAAACATGTCAATAATTTTACAAAAGTTTTTTTTTTTATTTGCATAAGAAATAAAAAACTAAAATTGGTTCAGATTTCAGAATTTAATATATAGTAAAAATGTGTTTGTTAAATCAATAATCCTTAGTGATTTTATTTGAAATAAATCAAAAAGCTGCTGAAAAGCAGAACAGAGTGAGGTTAGTGCTTACAAGTATATTTTGATATAAGTTCTTAAGCACGTCGCTAGATGTCGATAAAATATTTAATAGTTTCATTTACATGTTAAAAATAGATGGCGTTACATACATAATACAAACTATTTCGTCGATTACTGCCGTTCTAGTAAAGGCATTAACCAGTTATTATTCGATTTAACTCTATACATTTTACTAAACAAACTGACGCCACAATCCAAAGAAATGTTTGTAATGTTTTATTTAAATTTAATGAATATTACAACGACGCCGAAAGTGGTTACCATCGCCTATATACTTGTATTCTAATATAATAATAAAATATAGCGTATAATAATAGGACATTGCTACAGATTAGAAATTTTTAGTAATTGTAAAATGCGATACGATTTCCAGTTGAATTAATATGGAAAGAATAGTCTTAATTACTCCAAACAACTGTTGATCGGACGACAAAATTCGAAATTTATTTTAGAATTAATAGTATTAATTACTCCAAACAACTGTTGATCGGACGACAAAATTCGAAATTTAATTTCAGAATTTTATTCCAATGATAAATTAAAATTCTGAAATGAAATTAGATGAATTATGTTTTATAAATGCTAAAAACTTATCTGATAATACTCCTATAGATTGCAATATAAGTAGCAATGGCCTCATAGCTAAAGCCTCATCAGATGCGAAGAATTGCGATGCAGTCTCCGTAATGACGGTAATGATGTCTTGTGTAACGTAATGAGGATACTAAATTAAATTGCGGCCTTGACTTACAAACATTAAAATACGTAGTTATATGCGACATGGATGTAGAGGTAGTTGGTGAAAGATTTTCAAGTCCAAACTAATATTATAATGAGGAAATATTTGTTTTTGGTTTGAAATTGATGAACTCAAACAATACTTTACCGTTTTTGAAAACGGTAAAGTATTGTAAGAAAATGTTTAGCAGTAGACAATTATGGGTTGAAATGATGATGACGATGAATCAAATAAAAAAAAAAATAAGCATATTAAATAAGGCTGATAAAATAAACAACAATTTCGTTTTTGGGATTCTGTACCAAAAATATACAAAGGATTCCCATTTATTGTGATCGGTATAATATTCATTCGTTGTGTAATAATTTTTGCGATGGCTGCCTGACATCAATTCTCCTTGTAAATGCACTTGATGGTAGTATCCACCACTTACAATTACTAGAATAATATATAGGTACTAACTAGAATATACAACCTAACTCATTGATATATTGTTGGATCTTATTTTAACAAATCGATGTTTCATAATCAAATATGTACATACATATATATTTGTCACGTCTTTCTCCCATTAGGGTACGCAAAAACAATGGCATGCCAAATGTTTCAATTCAAACAAATCTCATTCACTTCCTCCACATTTATCATTCTTTTCATACACGCTCGCTGGAGTGTGTATGATTTGGCCCTTTTTCAGTACGTAGCCTATTTAATTGACATATGTCCATCTAGGGTGACCCCTACCGACATCTCCATTCATTTTGATCGATAAATCTATTTCGTAATTCTTCTTCTATCCATTTTTCCAATGGCCATACCAACCCATTTCCTTTCCAATTTTTGTCACTACATCATCTTTTAATCCACATTTGTCTCTAATCACACTATTTCTCACTCTAACTTTTAATGTACCACACATATTTCTCAAAGCTTTCATCTCTACAGTATTTATCTTAGTTTTGTGCATCTTCTGCCATACCTACAATTGCAAAATCAATTCCATAATGGAATAATAAATACTAAAGAGATTTTTAAAATCATTTAATGTGATCATATTTTAATTTCTACATAATTCAATGCCGTACATGATTATATATACATAGCAAAATAATATTTAATATCTGTAACCAGTATTCGCATTAAAAGTACCTTGACGACTAGAAGATCCGAAACTGGTTCCTGACTGGCCATCTCCATTGGCAGGACGGTATTGGCCTGAAAAAAAAATTTAAAAAATAAATAATTTTATTGATTTTTATTTGTATACAATTTTTTTTTGTTTGTTTTGTTTTGGTTTCTTTTGTTCTTGTTTTTTACGTTACTGTGTGGGCCGCATGCTTCTTCGATTAAATTATTTCTTTCTTTCTTTCAAATAACCAATAAAGAACTAACTAATTGATTGGTTATCTTATTCTTTAAACTGAAATACAACAATGTAATCTGTTTTTTTTATACAACTTAGAATAGCAAACAAGCTGACGGCTCAACTGATGGAAAGTGGTAATCGTCGCCTATAGGCATGAGCATATACCATGGACATAACAGAGTACTCTGTTTCGCCCTTGTCATTCCTGAAGGCTCAGGTGTTATTCCTCTGTACCCTGTAAATTAAATGTCATATCTCACCCTTCAAACCAAAATACAGCCATACAAACACAACTGCTTTACGGTAGAAACACGAATGGGATAGAGGGGATGACTTTAGTACATTACACACTGTTGATACATTACTTTTTGTAATATCTTTGCCAATTTTGAAGTAGAATTTGTAATTATTTTTAATGAATGCAGTATGTATTGGTGGTACATATTAATAATAATGGAAGTCAGATTTTATGTAACAAAATTTTTTATTATTAATTAAGTTTAAAAAAGGTAAAAATTTATGGAAAATTCCTTACCATCATCAAATATTCCAGCGGCTTCATCTCTTTCGTTCTGTAGCAAAGCTTCCAATATAGCTCGTGGAGTTGGTGGAGGGACTGGCAAATGGTCTCCTTGTGGTCTAAAACCACCTTCTCCAGCTACAAAAGTTATTGTATAAGTGTTTCCATCATCTCCTCTGTAGGAGTAACCACCCTGGGTTTGAGAAGCATCACCGCCCTCTTCAGCTCTGATACCATTAGAAGTCTCATAGCTGTAGTAGAAACCTAGAAAGTAATTAGATTTCTTTTTATTATTAGTTCAGTTTTTAGTACTATACTATTTCTCTATCATATAATTGACTTAATTACAAAATCAATCATCATCATCATCATTTTAACCTATTTAGACTCATATTCAATGAACGCTGATGTTCACTGCGTATATAAAGTTCTTCTCATTTTCACCACTAAATACTTTTCTGAGTTAATTGCAGCATGTAGAAGTAAACATGGTTGCTTAATTTATGGACTTTTCTTCTCTACTTGTTATCCGTTGCTCGAATGTCGAATTCAAATCATCTTTATGCAAATAGACTAGTTTAGAAGCTCTTTTAAATCGTTATCTTTTAAGATTCTACTACCAAGTAGTAGAATTCGGAATATTGTTATCTGCTTAGAAATTTCTCGCAAGAAACTCAATAGTTTTAAATTGCTGTTAACATTATGTATTTAAATGTACTATGTTTAAAATTACATGGTTATTTAAAAGCCCGTAAATGTTTGATTAACAATTTGATATGCGTTTGAGATTCTATAATATAATGAAGTTTAGAGAAGAGACATTTTCATAGTTAACTGATTAAAACAGCTAGAATCTAGAAATGAAGACAAGAATTAGAGTCATTAAAGCCTTTTGTCTTTAAACTTCTAGATATTTTGGATTAAAACAATGTGAAATACCTTACCGAAAAAAAAATTTGAACTTTTAGAACTAGGTCTTAAACGGTGCTTATTTCAAAATTATAGCCAAAAATAATACAGACAACTTTAACAAAAATTTAATAAAGGTTTGAAGAGATTAATTAGCAATAGGGCCGCCTTTTGTATCATTTTTCATTAAAATTGACTGTATTTATTATTTTTATAAATAGTGTAATAAAGTGTAAATAAATAAAAAAAAATATTTTAAACCAAACTTTACTTATACATGCATACTACACATTCATACATACATACTATATAGATCAAGTTCTCAATTTTCTTACTTACCATCTTCCGTTATTTTCTGATCTTGTTTTAATATTTGAGCATTTCTGTCCTGTTCTTGTTGAGGTCTTCTATTACCAGCATTGTCTGAACCTCCTCTTATGTAAGCCGCTGTGAGAGAGTTTTGACTGTTGCCTTGTTTTTGGGGAAGATAAACATTTGACAACAGAGCTGCTGAACTCGACGTGCCTTGTTTTTGGGGGAGATAAACATTTGACAACTGAGCTGCTGAACTCGACGTGCCTTGTTTTTGGGGGAGATAAACATTTGACAACTGAGCTGCTGAACTCGACGTGCCTTGTTTTTGGGGGAGATAAACATTTGACAACTGAGCTGCTGAACTCGACGTGCCTTGTTTTTGGGGGAGATAAACATTTGACAACTGAGTTGCTGAGCTCAACGTGCCTTGTTTTTGGGGGAGATAAACATTTGACAACTGAGCTGCTGAACTCGACGTGCCTTGTTTTTGGGGGAGATAAACATTTGACAACTGAGCTGCTGAACTCGACGTGCCTTGTTTTTGGGGCAGATAAACATTTGACAACTGAGCTGCTGAGCTCGACGTGCTTTGTTTTTGGGGAAGATAAACATTTGACAACTGAGCTCTCAGTAGCTCAGTTGTCAGATAAACATTTGACAACTGAGTTGCTGAACTCGACGTCCCTTGTTTTTGGGGAAGATAAACATTAGATAACCGAGATGCAGAGCTGATGGATATGATGGCTGCAAAAGTTATCTGAAAAATAGTTAAATAGTTACATGGAAATAAATTAATTTTATCAGATTCCCTTGCTTTACATTCCGCTATGTCTTACTACGTTTATGCCCTATTGCTTTCTTTCCATAAGAAGAAAATAATGTAATATACTATTACCGCATTTAGTATATTAATTTAATTGGTATTTGAAAATAAATTTAAAGAAATTATAAGGCCTAATAGATAGATGCCTATATCTAGCCATCCCGGTAGCTGTACTAGGGAGACCTAGATTAAGCTATTATGGATAGACCATGTTATATTTAAAGGAGAGAGTGAATGAGTTATGAAATTGTATGCAGCAAAAGATGTATGTAAGAAGTAGGTTATTGGTTCTCATTTCTCTCTGTCTATACCGTAATAGACTTGGCATAAAGATGTATAGATAATAATGGGACTAGTTATTTAATAAAATTTGTACTTTGACGTCATTGAACTAGTTATGTATGTATGGTTAGATATATTTATAGCAATTTTGAAATGTTTTTTAATTTAACAATTTGTTTCATACTAATTTTGTTAAGTATGTACTAAATTTTTAAACTTTCTTAAATTCACGACTCACCAAATTCATATTGATTTCTTTTTTTAAAACTTATTTTTTTTTGTATGAATTCAACTTGAAAGTGTTACAAAACATATACTGTGACAATAAAGTGTTACCAACTACTTTTATACTATTGAAAAACATTCAAAATACAGTTAAGTAGCAGCTTTATAATGTGACATTGACAATTGGCAGCCTTGATTTTGTTAATTGTTCAGTATTCGGAAGACAGTGGACATACTGGGTACTTTCTATTTTATTTAAACTTTATCACGATGCGAATAAGGTTTATATTTGACTAGCTATTTGTAATTGGTTGTGAACACTAAATTAAGGTGATAAATTTCATATTTCGAAGTACTGTGAAGGAATTTATAATTAAATATACAATGGGACTTGGAGATTTATTTCAAAATAATGCTTTAGTATTTCCGGTTAATATTTACAACCTATAAAAAAAATATTTTATTATTATATTTTTTTACTATTAATTAATATATTTTACACGAGAACAGAACACTAAGGGCCTAAAAGTGGTAAAAAAAACTTTTACAATAGATTTTAAACTTCGAAGCGATTGAAAATACTAGCGGTATTTGAAATTAAAATTGGTAAATATTAGATAAATAAAAATATTATTTAAAAATATAAAATAAAATCATTATTTTATTGCTGTCTAACCATAAATAATTTACAAGAGGGAGACTTTGTACAAAAGTCGTTTGCTTGGGTTCCTCTGTCCCACTCGTGTTTCAACCGTAAAGCAGTTGTATTTGCATGGCTGTGTTTCGGTTTGAAGGGTGTTATGGCGTGAATTTACAGGGTACAGAGGAATAACACCTGAGTCCTCAGGAATGGTAACGCATGGGGAGGGGTATCATGGGCGAAACAGTATACTCTGTTATGTCCATAGTCATACTAATCATGTCTATAGGCGACAGTTACCACTTTCCATCAGGTGGACCGTCAGCTTGTTTGCCATTCTAAGTTGTATAAAAAAATATATGGTTAATAAATATCGCATTATTATACACAATATTAAACAAAGTCACCACCGTTTGTGAGCTTAAATATTTTAAACTAGACAACAGATTCTAATACAGTTTTCATCATCAGATAGAGTGATTCAAGAGAAATCCTTATACATTATAGTTTAACATTGTTTTGTATTAATTTGTTGAAATATGTATAAGATTATTATATATAATATAACATATTAACATGTATAATATAATAATTTGTTTTACTTTGGAAATGTAACAGTTTGTTTTATATCTATTTATTTTAAATATCTTTATTGTCTTAGTATTATTATCTTTTTAACTGGTTCAGTTAGACTTATCCAACAAATATTAGATAAATAAATAAAGAAATAAATAAATAAAAGATAAATAAATAAATAAATTAGATAATAAATAAAGATATATGTAAATATTAGATAACAAATCTATCAAGTGGTATGGTCCATTTGTTGGATTTATTAATGAATGAACTGTTTTTTTGTTTGTTTTTTTTTTTCAATATAATTAATTGCCTGTTACATAAACACAGTAGTAGAATAAAAATGGAATATAGACTAAAAGTTTATGATTTCTGTAAAGTGCTAGAGGCAACTGCTACAAAGCAAGGTAGAAAATTGATATTCTTTTTACCTCTTGCACAAACTGAAACTATTGTGCCATCTTATGAAGATAATTGTTCAAGATGTCCGAAGAAATCAAGTCGACTGAGAGCTTTCATTGAAAACGCTGCCGAATCCGTTTGAGATATAATAAAATAATGTATAGTGGGATTGTTTTTCTTTTATAAATCAACAAAAAAGTCAACGATGGCATATTTCTATCTATTAAGGATAACTTACTTATAGTCATCTAATTCATAGCTTTACAAAACAAAATGATGCAAAAAAAGTAAGCATATATACTCTTTTACCCATGCGAAGCTGGGGTGAGTGACTAGTTATTTGTCAATATTATCAATCATATCAGCCTTTAAGTGTCCACTGCTGAACATAAGCCTCTATCTTGGGGAGTTTTGTCAGTAGTTGCCACGCTTGGCAAGCGGATTGGCAACTGCAGTTGGGCTTTGGAGATGTTTTAATTTGTAGTAATTTACAAAATAGATAAATACCCAATGTATAAAATTTCATAATAGAAAGTTCAAAATTATTATATTACCTATGGGATTTAAAAATGAACAAGCAAGCAAGAATTGGCAGCAATAGTGCAAATGCACTATTGCTGCCAATTCATCGCTTCCTATGCCACTATGTTAGGTTGATTGGAAGAAATCTCTTTTAAAGATAATTTCGTCTCTCCTTATATTATTTCTATTTGTTATTATTGTTGTACGTTTTAGTGCAATACCTTTTTTGAAGTCGGTTAAAAAAATGTTAAAACCAATCAGACAATCCATATCCGAGATTCACTGATAAAGAAAATATATTACGGAAGCTCTTAACATTACCTAATAGAAGGCATTAACCTTTACTTAATTACAATTAATACAAAGTAATACTATTATTAAAACACATAACGATATTATCATAATAGTCAACGAACGCACTCAAAGTAATTACAAGCATCGTCATAACAATTAATAAAATGTAAACTTGACCTGACCCTATCGCACGAACCCGCCGAAGGTCACCTGTCAAGGTTTAAATAAAATAAATAAATATTTTTTTCTTATACATCGTTCAGCGCCATCTAGTCACGAAATAAGAAGAGTGTGGATACTAGACTGGCAATTTCTAGAGTGGGCTCTGTGGAACCTAAGGGTTTCGTAAAAAAGTCACCAAGGTTGTGTGAAACTATGAAAGAATCGAAAGAAGAATAAAGTGTTTCACTTTTAAAATGCATAAAAACAAACTGAAAAACATTTGTTTGCATTTTGTTAAAGATTATGATCATTTAAAGTCAAAATCGTGATCCTTTAATTCTTTTCAAAAATTTGATCGAATAAAACAAAAAAACGGCTCGATGGATTGAATCGAAACTTTGTGGGGTTTTTGTGGGTATATTGAATTGTAAAAGGCATACTCAACATCACTGGTTTTCTCGGTATTTCCATCTTAGAGCCTGATTATCCTACAAGCTACCAAAAGCCCTTTTTTCTTGATTTTTCAAATTAATGTAAAGAATAAAAAAAATTTTTATTCGAATAACCATAGCTGATTTTTACCGGATATTTATTCAAAATTTCAAAACCTTCCTTAATTTCCTTGTGTGATCAGCGGTTGCCGAGATATTGATGGTTAAAGACAAAAAGATCCTTTTTCATTCAAAGTTCGATATCTCAGCGAGAAGTAGTCGTATTGAACTTTGCAAAAAAGCAAATTAAAGCTGAATGAACATACTATCTGATCCATATAGTGGTTAAGTTAGATTTTTTTTTCCAATAAAAAAAACGTAGACCAAAAAAAAAGAACCAAAAAAATTTTGAAAATAATTTCGTATCGGTATTTATTAGGATTAAACAGAACATGTTGCTTAAAAATGTTTTTCATCATAAGATCTCAAAACTAGAAACTTTGAGTTTTAAAATCCTTTTTTTAAAATTCCAATACAACAATTTTTAAAGGAAATACAGCTACTTGAAAAACCTCAAAAAATTTGGCATTTTTTTTTGATCACTTAATTTTTTCCTCTAGTGTACTCGTATATATATAAGAAGACGCTGCTGTCCATCCTTCGATCATTAAGTTTCCTTAGGTACCTCTTACGACACCACGGAAGAAGGTGTGATGCTTTCTATATCGGGACTACACCCTGTTTTGGCGGGACATCCTGATCTTTAGCCTAAAATTGAATGTCCCGCACGGGAGAGGAAACTATAAAACAAAATTAAGTTTTCGAAGAAATATGAACAAATATTTCGTTAATATTTTTTTTATTGATGTTTCCTCTCACGAATGCTCAGATAGTATTATATTATCTATTTCTCAGATTATGGAATAAACTATCTGTTAAAGTTTTTCAAAGAGTCTACAGTATGGAGTTCTTCAAAAAAGGAGCAAAGAAGTGTCTTCAGGATCGCATAGTTCTCGTATTGCAGGCCTAGTATTAGCCCTAGTATTGTTCTTAGGCCAAGGAAACTGCTTACCATCAAATGGGTTGTACGCTTGTTTGCCATCATAGTGCTATAACAAATGCGTTCCTTAAGTACTGTTTTCATCTAGAAAACTGGTGGTTCCTGGACAATGATTTCAGTCAGTTACTAGCGCTTAATTAAAGAAATTAAATTTAATACATTTTGTATTTTATTCGTGGGCCACTCCACAAGGTCCTTTCCTTTCTTTCATATCTAGGCTAAAAATACTGTATTATACTTAATACTTGAATGAAGGATGGGATAACAGAAGGAGAGGGTAAGAAAATTTAGAAGTAGAAAAAGAAGGAGGGTTTATTTCTTGATCATTTTGTGGCACATGTAAAATAAAGTGAAATACGATACAACTTAGTGATTGGGTAAAAGTTTTGGAAATCGTACTGATTTGGAGAACAAATATTTGACTTAATTCGGAAAAAATTCGAAAAAAATCGCACATTGCAACTATGCCTATAGAAACACTAGCTGATATGGCCCTTACTATCAAATATTATATATTTCATATCGCTCGTTAACTGTCCACATACTGCTGCTGCAGGATATTGGTCTCTTCCTTAGAGGCAGGGCTTTGACAGCAATTACCACGCTTGGCATGCGCGTTGGCAACCGCGGTTAGGTTTTGGTGATGTTTTAAGAGGGAGGCTTTTGTCCATCCTTCGACTATAAAGTTCCCTTAGTTGCCTTTTACGACACCCTTAGAAAGGAAGGGGTGACTCGTTCTACACCGGAACCATAAGCGACCACAACACACTACTATCACTTACCGGATCCATTTTTTATTGACAAGGTAAAAACAACCCTATTGAGACTTCTTGTTGCAAGCAAATAATGATTATACATTTACAAAATTTAACAAAATCGGTCAAGTGATTTCCGAGATTAGTATGAAGTTAAAAAACATCGTGACATGGGATTTTTATATTAAAGTGTGAAATTAAAACGTGTAACTTTACATCGATGATTAATGCACAATCGATCTTTTATATAATTTTATATATAAAATAAAATACATATAGTATGTAAATCGGTTCCTCTTCAGGTGTTATAACTACTCGATAAAAAGTGTTGAATATCTAGTAACGGCCCGTGACTAAATTTTAATAGATTTAACTTAATTGTTCGCATTTTAAGTTTTATTTTTTTTAAACGATGATGGAACGTGTGTTTTTGTGAATTTAAACAATCCAGATGGGCAAGTGTTTTGGTTAAATTCTGCATAATTAGCTCTAATTACACTAAGCAATAAATAGTTTATAAATTGTATTTTTGTTCAAATAAGTATATTTTATATACGACTTACGACTATGAGTACGAGTCGATACAGATTTAAAAGTGCACAAGGTAATAAATAAATTTAATAGAAAATTGTCACCTTTAGATTTTATATTATATTTAGATATTTTAAAAATATAAATTATGTTTATACAAATATACTTGTTTTTCATTGTCTAACAGTTATTTTTTATAAATTGTAATTTTTACTGTATTATTATAGCTCAAAGTGATAATAATTTACTCACGTGTTAATCTTGTGTCTTTATTAATTTAAAATTTTAATAAATATTGGAGTCTCTATATTTCTTAAGGAAAAAATAATATATTATTTTTTATAAAAGAATTATTTATTTAAATAATTCTTTTATAGAAATAATATATTACTTTTATAAAAGAAATATATATTTATTTATATAAAACAATTATTCGTTATAGAAACAAAAACTACTCGACGGATTTTAACGAAACTTGGTACAATTATTCTTCATACACCTGAGCAGGTTATAGTATACTTTTCATCACGCTACGAGCAATAGGAGCAGAGCAGTGAAGGGAAACATGTCTGTTACATCAAAACTACTGAGCCGTGAAATGGGACATAGGCTACTTATTTTACGAAAAACGACGGGAACGAGGACGAAGTCGCGGGGAACAGCTAGTCGATAATAAAAAAGACATTTTAAAATTATATTACATATTTATTTATAAGAGTGAAAATTTATACAATTTTAGAACACATGAATTTCTCTAGTGATATTAAGTACAACACCTAATAGTGGTAGCCGGTCTGCTCGTCGAAGCTCTGCTGAGGAATGTTCTGGAAGTTGTTGGAGGTTCTGGGAGCCAAGTATTGGCGACCAGCAGCGCCTAGCTGCGAGCCTTGCTGGCCAAAACGACCACCCTGGGAGCCGGCAGACGCACCAGAGCCGAATTGGGGCTGACCATATTGGGAGCTGGGACCGTTGCTGGGAGCTCCATATTGAGAGCTAGGAGACTGGGATCCAAACTGCGAGGGAGACTGGCCTCCAAATTGAGATCCTCCGAAACCAGAGCTACCAGACTGGGAGCTGTACTGTGAACCAGAAGCACCGTCTGTAAAGTAACAAATAAAAAAATATATAAATAAAATTTGAATGGTAAGCAAACTGATGTTCCGCCTGATGGAATGAAATGGCATGGATAGATATAAGAACAGTATCATGGACATCAGATACTAAGATGCTCATGTGGTAACACCCAGGCATTAAAGTGCGCCTTTCAAACCGAAACACAGTCATGTATCTACATCTTTCTCTGATGTATTGGTATTAAAAAAATTATATTTAATAAATTCACATTAATCTCTTGTTCTATCCCCCCTCCCACGCCCCCGCTCTTCTTCCAACTGTCTTAATTTCAAAATATAAAGCTTCCGAGGACAATCACGTATATCAACTTTTATATATCCAATTAGCATTGAAAAACGTAATATTTTATGGCGTCGGATGACAGTTATCGTGGTACATTATATCTTAGACGATTTATCATGACTTACTCTGAGAGCCGAAGCGGCCGTTGCCTCCAGAAGATCCACGGTTGGGAGGGAGGTACTGGTTGGAGGTGGCTGCACCGAAACCAGATTGCCCTTGTTGACCAGAAGCTCCGAAGCCATTGGATCCAGATGAGCCAAATCCATGGGATCCAGACGATCCAAATCCATTAGATCCAGATGATCCAAATCCGCCGGAACCGCCCGAGCCAAAACCGTTCGAGCTGCCTCCGAAAGATCCTTGAGAGCCACTGCCGAAACCATTGCCGCTAGAACCGAATCCTCCCAGGGCATTACCACCCTGGTCTGGAGGGAGGTATGAGCGTTCCAAGTTCTCTAGACGTCCTGCAGCGCAGACGGCGACAAGGGTGGTGATGACAAACTGTGAAAGGTATTACAGTCTTATAAAATTATAAATATCACATAGCTTGAAGTACCAATAACCGATAGGAGAGAAAGGGTCTCGAAGGGTAACCCTGTACAGGTAAACGAAGGGTAGTATGATTTCCAAATAGTTAGACCTTAAAAATGTATTGCAAGGATTCGTTCCTTATGGAGATTTAAAAGGAGGTTTATGTTAAACCATGGATCGTGAATGCCTAAAATGGTAATAGTGATAGAGTAGTGATGAAAATATTGATGCTAAGCCACTAAATTATTAGACCATTAGACCACAGTTCCTTATATAATTCATGGAATTAATAGCAACTCAAAATTGTATTTAGTCTTTTATTAAATAAAATTATAAATCCAGATTTCTCCAGATTTTATTGCAACTATTATCCCTTTAAAGTTAATCCTTTAATTTTTTTTTAAAGAATTTTTAAAACAGATTTTTTCTTAATATCCATCTAATTTTTTTTTTCAAAATTTAAATAAAGAATTCTGGAACACCATTTAAACTTAACAATTAATAAAATTAAATGAACCAATGGAGCCAACAATTACCAGTTTCATTGTCGAATAATAGAATTTACTCCAAGAGGTAACAACCAAATGAGAAGCTAACACTGAACTGTGATGCTGCGAGTCGAATTGACCTATTATATACTAACTGACCTGATCTTAATCCTGATCATCTCACGCATACAACTGACGTAATGTTTTATAGAATATAATAAACGAGCATTTTCGAGTTATGATATGCATGGCCGAGTAATTAGTTGCCATATACTTTTTTTTTTCGCTACCGAACGTGATTTGTTGGCCTCGTCTGTCATATATAGGAGCAACGGTCATATTCAAGGATCCACTAATTAATTTTTGTGTTTCATCAATCGATTTTGAATGAAAGCATTAAATCGATATCGTATTGTTTAGACGCCATAGATCGTGAATCGATCGCGGCGTGGAACGTTCACACAACTATCAGTCAAATTTTCGAATTAACTGTCAAAGTGTTTCGTTTGCGCAACAATGTGATATGTAGAACTAAATGCACTATGATTTTGTACTTGACTTGATATTGTACAAATGTACCATTCTCCCAAAACTGTATCGGTTACCGTTCTAAATTTGTAACATGCATTGTTAAGCAGATGCATTCGTCCTTATATTTAGCTGCATATTGACGAAATTGCTGTATTGTTGCAAATTAGAAACGACCTTAATTAAATTATTTTATTTTAAACAATAGAGTTGTTACAATTAAAACATATTACTTTATTGATATAAAAATTGTTTGTATGACAGTTTCTCATGTAGAAATTGCTTTTTTAACAAGCGACTTCAAAATTAAGGAGGTTTACAATTTAGTTGTATTTTTTTTATATTTGTTACCTCATAATACAGTCAGTTGTAAACGGAATTGAAAAATTCTTTTTTTATCTGTAAGGATATATTTATAGATTAGGTCTGTATAAAATTCTATCGAAATCGGTATAGTAATTTAGTTTTTAGATGGAATCTGGTTTTAACACAATTGAAGATATTATTAAGGAAAGGATAGGGATGATTATAGTTATACCTCCTATCCTTTTTTGATGGTGAACTACCATCCTCATTACTATCAATATATTTTATGGCATAATGTACTAATAATACTTACACCAGGATTCACCAATCATGGTGTAAGTACTACAGCTTAATTTTTTTTAATGGGTGATAATGGTATGGTAACCCCGCTTGCGCTATCGGTATACCCTGGCGGGGCACCAGTGAGCGATGATAGGTGACGATGAAAGCAAGTCAGTTAGCCCATCGTAACGAATTCCACTAGAATTAACAACGATGTTTTCCAGGAGGGACCACGTGGAAGTCGACCTGATAGGGTATTGCTAGCAATGTCACTGGTAGTCCACTTTACTAACAATCCCTTCCGCCCTACCAGCTTTATTTTTATTTAATGAATGATAATGGTATGGTAACCCCGTTTGCGTTATCGGTATACGCTGGCGGGGCACCAGTAAGGGATGATAGGTGAGAATGAAAAAAGCAGGTCAGTTAGCCCATCGTGATGAGTACACTTGATGGATTCAGCGCGATGGTTTCCAGGGGAGACTACGGGGAGGTCGACCTGGTTGGGTGTATTGCTAGCAATAGGGCCCTCAGTCTCCTTTACTAACAATCCCTCCCCCCACCTGCTTCATTAGTTACTATCAATATATCTTATCAAGTGTACTTCCTTACTTTCTCCCTTGGAAACTATCATGATTAATCCCAGATACCAGCGGTAGGCAATCTGACCTGCCTTTTCATCTTCACCAATTATTCCTTATTGATACTCCGTCAGCGTATATCGTTAACTCAGGCGGGGTTTCCATTTCATTGATCATATCAGCCTCTCCTGATTAAAGGTCTCTTCCTATTGCGGGGTTTTCCAGTAATTGCAATGCTTTCCAGGCGGGGTTTTTCGATGGATGATTATGAAACGATAACCCCGCCAGCGCTATCGGTATACACCAATCTGGTGCCCCGCCAATCAGTGAGAAATGATAGATGAATATGAAAGCAGGTCAATTAGCTGATTGTGACGAATGTAAGAAGTATTAATCTCAATGGTTTCTAGGGGGAACCGCGTGGAGGTCGACCTGACAGGACTTACTAGCAATGGGGCCATTAGTCCACATTACTAACAATCCCTTTCCTCCCTAGCAGGCCGGTTGGCAATCGCAGTAAGGCTTTGGTGATGTTTTAATAGGAATTTACCATCTATTAAATCCATTATCATCTATTAAAAGAAATGTCCTTTAGACTAGCCTAATGTTTATTTTTCTCCTTCGTGGCATAAAAAATCGACAATTATTTAATTTTGAGACGAAATACTCAGAAAAATCGGTTCTAAATATTTTCTTGTAATTCATCAAGTTCCTTGAACTGTACAAAAATATATAAACAAAATTAAGATCTACGCGTCCGATATTGTGATTAATTTTAACTATCATCTGATAGTTGACCGTTTAACAGCAATTTACAGAGCAGTTAACGACGCAGTTAGCTGTTTTAGCTAATAAAATTTTGCGAGCCGGCGGATTTGTTTTAGGAAATGATTAAAGTTAAGATTTTAATCTATCATTGAAATTAGTAATTGTCCACGTTTTCGTGTTAATTTGCATTTTTTTTTATTCTTAAAAGTTTTTTTTTTAATAATATTATGTGGTTTACAAAAAAAGTTGTATGTTACAGGTCAGATTTTTGTTATATATTTGTGTATGATATCATAATGTTTAAAAGGATGAATCGATTTTAATACATTTTTTTATTATATCGAAGCAGTTTCTAGCTATTCTATTATTAACCTATGATGTCCCACTGCTGAGCAAAGGTCTCCCTAATCTCTTTCCAAGTGTTCCTGTTCTGCGTCATTTCAAACCAGTCCTTTTAAAATGCGTCAAGGTCGTGACACAACCGCTTCCTGGGCAAGCTTCAGCTACATTGTCAATCCGTAGGCACAAATTGAGTGGAGATCTTTAAAAACCTATGAGTATTCATATAATAAATACGATTGGAATCGAATAACGCTCTAAGTCACTCTCAAATGTTATTTTTATTTATTCATATTTTTTTTCTATGCAACTTAGAATAGCAAACAAGCTGACGGTCCACCTGATGGAAAGTGGTAACCGTCGCCTATAGACATGAGCAGTATTATGAACATAACAGAGTATACTGTTTAACTCATGATACTCCCAATGCGTTGCCATTCCTGAGAACTCAAGTGTTTTTCCTCTGTACCCAGTAAATTCACTGCCATATCCCACCCTTCAAACCGAAACACAGCCATGCAAACACAACTGCTTCACGGTTGAAACACGAATACTGTGATATTCATTTTTTTTTAATTTTAAAATAATTTCATATATATATATATATATATAATCATATACACTGTTTATGTATGTGCACCGTATTTTATGTAACAGCAATTGATTGATTGATTCAGACTTATAAATGGAGATACCGGTCAAGTTATATCTTACTAATATAATAAAATTGAAACTAAGACGGTGTCTGTTCATTAAGGATACGAGACTTCAAAAAATAAATAAATAAATAATGAAAGATCTTATTAAGATGAATAGAAGCCAAAGAATATTTTTAAAATATATGAAAGACTTTAATAAGAAGAATAGAAAGCGGAAAATATTTATTAAAAATTTTGTGTGTCTGTCTATCTGAGAGTTTTCGCCATCACGCAAAAATTACTGCTTCAAATTGGATGCGGTTTTCATAGTCGTTTATGCACAATGGCCCAAATGAGATGTTAAGGAGGGGAAATAGAGTCCAATTTACAATATACGACTGTGTAAATTGTATTTCTAAAGATGCAACTTTAAATTTTGTGTATGTCTTATCTTGATACAGCAATGGCCTACATCGGTGTTTCCCACCGTGGGGCCCACGCCCCACAGGGGGGCAATGTTATAGTTAAGGGGGAGGGGAATTAAAAAATGGACTCAAAGCGATTTAAACCCTCTTGCTCTGGGCCATTTAAATGCAATGCTACGAATAAATATCGGTGCCAAATTTAAATTTTAAAATAAAGTAAATTAAAAAAAAAATGCTCGTTTGACATTACCAAAATATTAACTGGGCGATTAGAGTAGTCAAGTAAACTTTGTCGGGAAAAATTATGTATGGGGGCATAAAAATTTTAGAAATGTTCATGGCACAAAAAATGTTGGGAAACACTGGTCTATATTATTAATTTTCCTTCTTCTAAATTCACGCATACGAAGTAGCGGGCAAATAGATAGTAATTAAATTTAAACCTGGGAAAGTAGACAGTCCACCTAATGAGACGCGTCTATCATTGCCCATGAACACTTGCAACACGAGAGGAGTTGCTAGTGCGTTGGCGGCCTTTTAGATGTTTGTACGCACGTTTTTTGAAATTCCCCGTGTTATATTATAAAGGAACAATTGAGGACGGGAGTTTCTTCCACAATCTAAATGTACGGAGTAGAAATAAACAGAAAACACGGATAGTAGTAATATGCCATGCATCCAAGGAATGAGTGTGAACCTCTGATGATTTCCATATTCATCTAAGTGCAAACAAGCTCCAAAAACTGTACATATATGTATATATATATACATATATATATATATATATATATACATATATATATATATAGGTTGTTACGATAGATAACTATAATATATTGAAATTCGTGTAGACTGTAGCATGATTTCAATAGAAAGGATGGCACTTACACACACAGCAGTGTTATTGCCTAAGTTCGTAAAGCTTTATATATTATTTTTAATAAATAAATAATAATATGGTAGGTATATATATCCAATACTTAATAAAGTGTATTCATATATATATATATATATATATATATATATATATATATATATATATATATATATATATATATATATATATATATATATATATATATATATATATATATATATATATATATATATATATATATTATCTCTACACGTTATTTTTTTATGATATCATAGATGGAGGATTCTCCATCATGATATCATAAAAAAAATATGTAAGATAAATAAATAAAATAAAATTGTCTATAGGTCACGGTAGACATCATAATATAAACTGTTTTATGACTAACGAATAGTTACCGCTTAGTAATCTC